TAACACACAAATACACATACTCATACAATCGAGCAAAAATAACAAGACTAGTATGAAATAAAATTAATCAAACTACTCTATATCGATTTATCTAGGTTTTTAATTTTCTTCTGGCTCAATCGAGTCTATATAAGAAGTAGGATAGAGCCGGATAGTATTTTTGCCCTAGTGTTAACGTAAGACTTACAAGAATGGCACCCAGCTCTGATGATGTCCATCATATGATGGATGAAAGCTCAGCACGCTTTCACCTGAAACGAGGGGGGTGCCTCACGGACTGCGTCAACATGAATATCGTATAAAAGCTTAACGGCTAGAGTATAACGAGATGTATCCGTCCTCATCTGATGAGATCGACCAACGAATCTCTTCTTCATTCATTTTCATACGAAATAAGTCTCCATAGGAATAAAAAACATGAGTGATTTTGCTGAATAATGGATAAGGAAGATCAGAGATAGCCGAATACATTGCCCTGACCGACCGCACGATTGAGTGTAATAAAACGGAAAAACTTGTCTCATACGCGGAAAACGCAGGAAAAAAGATCAGAGGCCGCGGATATTCTCTTTCAAGGAAAGCTAATGAACATTAGATCGGAAGAAGGAATAGTCAGCGAAAATTTCGTTACTGCCAAGGAAGACTTGGATATTCAGCAATAACAACTAAAAGAAGACGCTTTGGTCAAGTTATATATATATATATATATATCGCGATTGCGATGGGAGGAATGAAAGCTATAGTCAGCCTCAACAATTTAACGGTTTTAATCTACCTTGGGTATATGGGATTGAAAGTCCATAAACACTAGTATAATAAACCATTAGAGGTGCTATGTTAAGGATTTAGATATATTTTAAATCAACTTGAATATGGAAACCGAGAAGACGAGGCACAAGCCAGTTGGACTCCAGAGTAATTCCAGTAGTGAGAAGTGGCAGAATGAATACCTGGTCAGAACAGTTAACAACCAAATTAAGCATGCACAACTGACTAGAACCTTGGGAATAAGTGAAACTGGCAGCGGTGCGATGATATATATTATTACGAATTCTATAGCAGAGGACAAAGGACTAGCTATATTCCACAATTTCTCCCTGTCGTCCCAACCAAGTTGCGAAAAAGAGGCAAACCAAAAGTAAATATTAACGTTACAAAATCGACTAACATGAAAATGAACAGCCTTAAAATTAAATTAGCCACTAATATTAGAGAACAAAACCAATTTATCATAAGAGAGATTACATTAGCAATAGAAACGTTTACATAGTCGTTAACGCAGTCCTTCACATTGACTTTTGCAGTCTGCCACCGCGTGTCTGGCGCGGATGGGCTGTGTGCGCACATGTATGCATTTTAACTCACCCACTTTTGGCTCATCGTGAGATCGATAGGCATAGAATGCAGGAAGCCTATTATTTTAGGAATACACGCTCTTCAGGACTGGGTGAGGATTCAAGTGCACTAAAACAGACGTTCACGAATGCAAGCGCGAGTCCCAATCACGTAAAAAACGGTTAAGTAGGAGAAAAGCGCGCGAGCATGCAAGTGCACACGCGCACGAACTTGTATATGCATTGGGGAAATGTGTGGCAGGCGGCTCAAAAGCACTCGGAGCCGGATCGCCGGCAAGATGGCGCACACAAGGCACGCGATACATAGGTTGCAGACCTGCCTATAGGGCCACCCGGCAAAGGATGTAGTAGCAGAAGTATAGGTAGCAGTAGAAGTAGTTGTAGATTTTGCAGCAGCAGCAGCCGCAGCGACATTGATGGTGATAAAAGTAGCGACTTGAGGATCAACTGGCCAGGTTGATCAACGGAGAACAGCACTGGCTGCTGAACAGCGGCGTCCAGTCGAGTTTGAGCCCGGTGCTCCTGTCTCACTGGAGAGAGATAGAGATTATTCCGCCCATCACTTAAAAGAAATCAGACCCAGGCCGTCCAGCCTTCGTACATTCTGGCCAAGTTAGTTGTGTCCACGGCCTCCGCAATACAGGCGTCTACCTGAGCCTCGACAGAAAGGCCAGATCGTCGGGCGTGATGTTGAGACGTAGTACTCGTTTGGCTGCCATCTAGTCTGTTTGTATTCGAATCACGAGCTACATCATCCACACCGGATGCCTTGTAACAGATAGGATCATAGCCCATAAGACGATCTCGAGTTCGACGCCAGATCGTTAGACTCGCCGAGTTCACACGATAGTCATGTGTGTTCTCCAGTTCCTGAATCAAAAGTTAGATTTACACCAAATTGTGATAATTTACCACTATAAATAAACAGGTGAAGATCAAAAATGGATCAAGACCAAAAAAGAATGCTCATAGGTTGCAGAGCAGGCCACACGAAGTCAAATTCGCACCATATAGGTTCCAACAGAAAGTACAACTTACTAATGGTGCCAGGCCAAAAGATGAGCAACTACTTTAACTTTTAGGAAGCATAAAATTACAAGAGAATCATTTGAGAAAAGCTTTGTAAAGACTCGGTGTGGAGGGCCTGGATGATAAGTCAAGTTGAATATGCATTAATTATACTCAAGACAACTAAAAAAAATAATTAAAAAAATGAAAATTTATGTAAGCTAATTTATAATCTTCCCAAAGCCTACATCATTACTAAACGAGATAGATTCAAGTGAGCACTATCATCAGGAAAGTTCATGACTAATGATGAAATATCTGAATAAAAATCATTAATGTGATAAGGCCAGCCTAATAAAATGAGTCATAATAGCGTTTATAGCAGGTTATTTGAAAACTAAGTCAGACATAAGCCCTTATCGAGAGAGAATTTCTTACATACTGTATAGAGACCTTGATCATTTCGGGCGAAGCTGGAGTATTTGCTCGCTCAAGTTGATTTGATTCAATAAGTGAAGTGCGACAGTCATTTATTTGCCATTATATACTCCATAAATTATCTGCTTCTACCAATGATGTTTGGTGTCCCGAATTCAAGCACAAATATGATAACAAGCCCTTCAATGGAAAGAAGTCGAATTTGCATCTCGAGGCACGTGAAGGATTCTTTATGGACTTATTTCGTGGTCCTATTGCTATGCAAACATGATGGCCTCACTCACAATTCTCTAAATAATAAAGCTCAAGAGGCCGACAAAATGGTGCCGTAGGAACATTTTTAGATCCAGACCGGCAGAAAGATAGATCAAATTAAAATGCAAGATCGCTGTATAAATTGATTGGCTTGGATAAATAGAGTAATTAGTCGATATTAATATAACAGGAAAAGTGATCAAGATGACCTATCTTTATCTACCGAAAGATTATAATTAAATCGCATCCTTTAAAAAGATAAAAACGTAAATTCAACACGTTATGAAACAAATGGTGGGCTTAAAAGGTATTTTTACTTCGTTGTCTCTTCTAGCCGAAGGGATGGTTCGTAAAAGTGACGGGTCCAGGTCATCTGACGTGGCTATCTTGCGTTCGACTGGACAGACACCCAGGTCGGCAATAAGCGCAGACAGATCGGGCCTATTTGCCTTGGCCAATATGTCATGTAATACACCCGGCAAACGATCAACTAGCCGAGTGAGTTTGGCTATATTAACACAATCACTCGTCAGTTGGTTGGCAAGCTCAAATTCATCGGATTGACGAGACCCATTGGGCTCCTGTTTCCCATAAAGCATCTCGGTTGGATTGGCAGAAACCAAGCTAGCTAAAAGGGTCATTCGATCAAGCAGACGGGCGGCTGTTTCGCCCCAGATACGATATTCGTCAAGCCAACGAGCAGAGGCGCAGAAACGTGATGATTGATGCGTCGATGTAGTCGTGTAGCGAGCTATCAACTTAACCAGAGTGCGCAATTCTACGAGTCCACTTTGCTGCATTGCGGCTAAATTAGAGCGAATTTCTTGCAGAAGGGGGAAATTCGCTGTACACGACCCAGTTGATAGAGGCTCATGAAGAGACTCTAGACGGTCAAATGTGTTGGTAAATAAGCCAGTAGA